CGGCTGATTTTTTGATTTATTGTAGAGATGAGGTCTCGCTGCCAGGCGGGTCTCGAACCCTCAGGCTCAGGCAATCCACTCACCTCAGCCTCCCAAAGGCGCGGATTACAGACCGAGCCACTGAGCCCGGCAGGAAATCTGAACTTTAACAAAGAAATAATATATATGGTAATGCAAATAATCTTAAGAAGAAACACGTTTTTCAAGTGGATTATTTATCATATTTTATTCCTACTATTTCGTATAAATTGCACTTAGTCTAAAAATTAAAGCACAGGACTCCATTAAATAAAATTATTCATTTAAATTTCAAAATACTCTTAGAAAATACTAAATTTCAAAATACTCTTAGAAAATACTAAATTTCAAAATACTCTTAGAAACGATGTCAACTTTGTATCAACTTCATTCCTTTATTGTTTGTTATTTGCCTTGTTTTGCTCTTTTCACGTCAGCACATTAATTTAAAGTCTTATCTTTTTTTTTTATTTGAAAAGGTCTCCAAAAGAGCAATCACACTTAAATGGTTTACAAACATCAATTCAAATATAACAAATATAGATTCTCTTAATAATATAAGAAAGAAGTAATACATAATATTTTACAGCAAATCAAAATATTTAAATGTAATATATAAATATAAATTTATGTTTATACTAAATATAAAGTTTAATATTTATATTTTGATTTTTATTTATTTACCACCTATGTCAGCAAAAAATTGATATATAAGGATCAATCTGAAAAATATGTCTTTCTTAATTTATATTTTTACACAATTGAAAAAGAATTTGTGTTAACAATAGTCTTTTATCTTATTATGTCAAAATAGAGTAATCTTAGAAAATAATGATACAGTGATATAAATTCTACATTACAGCAATAAGGATGCATTTTTTTCTTATGAAAGATTCATAAAGAATAAAAGTCATGTCATTTTTTGGTATTTATTTCGTTTAAGTCTTTTAAGGATTCTTAAATATTTTTTCACTAGATTCAAATTGAGATTTGCAAAAATATGAAATACTTTTATTAAAATTGATTTAGAGAATGTAGAAAATCTAGAAAACACTCCCCCAACACACACACACACACACACACACACACACACACACACACTTTTCCCTCCTGTAGCAGATCAATTATTGTTGCCCATTTTACTGGCATAAAATTCATTATCTAAGTAAGACTCAGTATTCACAACTTTCACTCCATTCAACAGATATTTTTGGAGCAGCCACTCTGTCCTAGACCCTACTCTGAACTTGGAAGGTAGAGCCCTGAACTTAACAGACACATTTCCTATATTCAAATAGCTTCCATTCCATTGGCGAAGACATGCAGTAAACAAATTAGAAATTGCTCTCAACAGAGATAGCTTTAAGAATGAATTATGGCCGGGCTCAGTGGCTCAGCTTGTAATCCCAGCACTTTGGAGGCCATGGCGGATGGATTTCCTGAACCTGTGGGTTCGAGACCCACCTGGGCAACTTGGCAAGATCTCGTCTCTACAATAAATCAAAAATTAGCTGGGCATGGTAGCATGTGCCTGTTGTTCCGGTTACTTGGAAGGCTGAGGCGAAAGGATCCCTGGAGCCCAGCAGGGAAAGGCTGCGGTGGCCTGAAGCGTGCCACTGCACTCCAGTCTTGGAGAGTGAGACTTCAACTCAAAAAAACAAAAACAAAAACAAAACGAATGAATTACATAAAGCAACCTAAAGGAATATTAAGTAATGTATGTGAAGGCTGGGGACTATTTAATAGTGAGGTGATCAGAAAAGTGTTGTCCAGGCAGGGCACTGTTGCTCACACCTATAATCTTAACACTTTTGGGAGGTCCATGCAAGAGTATCAATTACTTGAATCCAGGAGTTCAAGACAATCCTGGGCAACATAGCAAGATATCTCTAAATAAATAAATAAATACATAAATAAATAAATAAATAAGAAAAAAGAAAAGAGAAGTCTTCTCTAGAGACCTAAAAGAAGCAAGAGATGAACCATGTGCTCTCTGGGTGATGAGTGTTTGAGAAAGGTTAAGCAGCAATTGCAAAATCTCTGATTTGGGAGTCTACTGGACAGGGAAGCCAGTGGGGCTGGACTGCAGTGGAGGAAGGAGCTAAGATGAGGTCAAAGACCCACCCTGGAGAGCACTGTAGGCCAGGCCAAAGAGTCAAATTAGATCATGGCATGGGAGACAATGGTGAGTTTAGATCTAAATCACTTCACTGTTGAAGAGCCAGGTGACTTTGGTTACCCAGAGGAAAATAATGACTAGGAAGTAAGGGTAGAAATAGCTCAGTCAACAGATCTTAGAAATATCAGTCTATACAGTAGTGGGAAACTGTCAGGGGGAGGGTGGGTAGAGGATTGACAGTAGTGGGAAACTGCCAGGGGAAGGAGGGGCACACCTCATCAACAAGGGTACCTGCATAATGACCATTTGTATACCTAATCCTGAATGGTGCCCCATATATTTAAAATAGAAATTAAAAAAAAAGAAAAGGAAAAAAAGAAATATCTATCTGTCCGTAAATTTTCTTCCACCATGTGGTTGTGCTGAAATCTTTGAGCCTACTCTGGTTCAGAAGGCTGCCCAAGTTGTAAATTATTATTTTCTTAATTAGACTCTGTTAAATTAAAACAACAACAACCACAAGAAACTGAAAAACCAAAAACAAATAAACAAAAGAGAAGATAGCAATAATTCAGAAAACTGACGGAAATGTTGAAATTCTGGCAGAATTTTTAAAAAGCAGCCAAAACATATATTTTGTAAATATTCTGATCTTCTGATAAATTATGCCAAGAGCCGGGCTCGGTGGCTCAGCTGTAATCCTGCGCCTTTGGGAGGCTGAGGTGAGTGGATTGCCTGAGTCCGCGGGTTCGAGACCCGCCTGGGCAGCGAGACCTCATCTCTACAATAAATCAAAATATCAGCCAGGCGTGGTAGCGCATGCCTGTAATTCCTGCTACTTGGAAGGCTGAGGCGGAAGGATTGCCGGAGCCCAGCAGGTCAAGGCTGCGGTGGCCGGGAGCGGCCAGGCACTCCAGTCTGGGTGACAGAGTGAGACTCCAACTCAAAAAATAAAAAATAAAAATAAAAAATAAATTATGCCAAGCAATTTACTATAATATATAATAATATAATATGAGATATTCAATAACTTGAGTACTTGTATAGCCTAATAGAGCACATGGATTTGCTTTCAGAGTTGTAATTTACTTTCATCTCTAAATAAGGATCCACCAGGGACAA